CAGGCCTGGGGGTGTTCTACTCTCTCCTCACAAAATTTGGGTCTGTTTTGTTCCCTGAAGCTGTGGAAGGTTGGAATGGTTGGAAAAAAAAATGGAAGCTGGTGGGAAGCTCAGACTTGGCCACAATGTGGTAGAAAATCTGCAGTACCTGAACTATCTTTAATGGCTTTTTGTTTTCATTCAGTGTTGCAGTAGTTCCTGTTAGACAGAGCCAGGTTAAAGGCATTAATAAACAATTTCTTCCTTTCTTCCTTCCTTCTGACAGTTGCAGTCACAAGGACATGCTTTGCCTGTGAGCAGAATCTGTTTAAAATACCTGTTGCTTGTCCAGGCTGCAGTTCTGCAGTGCCCCAAACTTGGCAATTGGCAGCTAAATTCCCTGGCAGGGCCATTAAACTCTGACCCACAGGACCTGGAATTACCTGGGCTGTGAGAATGAATAAAACTGTGAGAAAGAAACAAGAATCTTTGCCCAGAGTTCAGAACTCCCTGGGACAAGGATGTTGCAAAGGAGGAGAAGTTCCCTGTGTTTGACATCTGCAGACTGATAAATGTGGTCCAGGAACCTGAGCAGGAGTTCTGGATGTGCCCCTTGGTTCTGGCTGTTCCCAGATGCTTCAAGGACTGTTGGTGGCAGTTGTGGGATCCTGGAAGGGTTTGGGTTGGAAGGGAAGTTGAAGATCATCCAGTCCCACCCCCTTCCCCTATCCCAGGTTGCTCCAAGCTGGCCCTGGACACTCCCAGGGATGGGGCAGCCACAGCTCCTCTGGGCAACCTGTGCCAGGGCCTCCCCCCTCCCAGGGCAGGATTTCTCCCCAGTATCCCTCTGACCCTGCCCCCTGGCAGTTTGAAGCCATCCCCCTTGTCCTGTCACTCCAGACCCTTGGAGAGAGTCTCTCTCCACCTTTCTTGTAGCTCCCTTCAGGTCCTGGAAGGTCACAATTAACCTTCCAGTGGGGTTGCTGTCAAAGCTGCCCCATTTGGTGCTCCTTTAGGGCAAACCCAAGTGCCTGTCATGCTCACCTGCTCCAAATCCCAATTAGTGCCTGTTGTGTTCCCCTGTTCCAAACTCCCATTTCAATTCCAGTTTGCTCCTTCCACGTGCAACAATCTAATGTATTATCAATTTTCTCTTCTTAGCTGCAGGGAATGGCTGGTGCTCTGTGCACACACTATGGATACATGTATGGTTCACAAACAGCTAAAATTAGGAAATTCTAAATTGTAAATGTAGCCAATTACCTCTAATCATAGGATCACTATAATTAGTAGGATGCTGCTTCCCCCCTGTTTTTAAGGAAGATAGATATTCTCTTGAATAGACCCTCAACAGGTTTATACCATGGCTGTGAAAATAGAGCATTGTTGGGCTATTTCTGAGGGCAGGAACAACTTTCTGCCCCGTTTTCCAGTGGGATTCCTGTCTCTGGTGGCTCCACAGGCTGTGCCTTCCCCTCCTGTTCCTCCCTGGGTTCCTCTGGAGAGCTCTCCTTGTCCTCAGCAGGGAAATGGTACTTTTTAAAGCCAAAATCCCTGTTTGCACTTTCCCATCCCAAGCAGGATGGGCCAGACCCGTGTCAATGTTTGTTGACTGGGAGCTGGATTTCTGAATTTTTCTATTTCAGGAGCACCCAGTCAATATTCTGCCATCAATCTCAAGAGCTTCCCTCTCTTCCCATTATTTGTCCTGCAAAACACGATTTGGCATAATTTTTTTTTTCCCCCTGTGCTAAATCCAGCTCTCCTTTGTGCAGATCAGCTGTTTACAGTAGCTTCCTTATAACACTTTAATTTTCAATTTTGCTCCTTTGACGCCGCTTTCGCTTCTTCCTGTAAATATTTTGATGTGTTGTTGGTTGCTTTTCTTTAAATGTTGTGGGGAAAGCGAATGCAGCAGCTGCTTGTGGTGCTTCAGAATTTGAAGTAGTCGGATTTCACGGGACACATTTTTTTTTGTTGTTTTTCCAAAGAAAATCGGTTTTAGGGGGGAAAAAGCAGGAATGATTTGCCTCGTTGGGATACTCAGATGTACCCTCAGGCTTTGTTCCAGCAGGTTACACCTGGGAAAGGTGATCACTGGATCCCACAGGGGTTGGGGTTGGAAGGGACATTAAAATCCATTTAATTCCAAGGGCAGGGACACCTCCTGCTATCCCAGGTTGTTCAACAACATCCCTGGACACTCCCAGGGATGGGGCAGCCACAGCTTCTCTGGGCAACCTGTGCCAGGGCCTCACACCCTCCCAGGGAGGAATTGCTTCCAGATATCCAGAGATGTGACAGCTGGGACTCGGGGATGGAGGAATCACAAACAGCTCGGGTTTTGGTGAGGGACTCGGTGGTCCATGGAGGGTGAAAAAGTGGGATCGCAGCCGCAGGAATGTGTCAGGCAGGGAATGCTGGAGGCAGCAGAGTCATCCCAGCCCGGCTCTGGCTGCGGGTGGCACTGCAGAGCAGGAGTTGTGTCCCGGTGGGTGTTCGCACAGGAATTCTCGGTAGCCAAGAGGTGATTTTGGGCAAGGTGGGACGCGGAGTGAGCGCTCGGGGTCAGAAACGGGGCTCGGAAACAGAGCCAGAGCCTTCCTTCAGGGATGCTGGGACCGCTGATGGTTGCAGGGATGGTTTGGGCTCTGCTCAGAATTGTCTGGTTTGTGAATAAAGGCAGGATTATTTTTTTTTTTTTTTT